TGTCCCTTCTTCTCCAGCAGAGCATCTGGTGCCAAGTTTCATTTCTATTTCAGATGATAACATGGCTATAATTGGGTGGTAGACCAGAGACCACCCAGTGGCCAGCTACCATTTGATCTCAATAAAAGGAAGAAAGAATCAACTCAAAGTCATGGAATCACAACCGGCTGACCATCCAGTGAGTTCTCTCTCCCCCTCCACCTTTCTTACTTTTTTAAAAAATAATACACTTTTTAATTGTGGTTTTAATAAACGTTTACAGAAAAGTTGAATTTTCATTCATTTATTGTTGCACATTTTAACCCCTCTCCTTCCCTTCTCCCTCCTCCAGTTCACTTTCTTTTAAAAAAAAAAATATTTATTCATTGTTGTACAATGTCCTCCTGCCCCACCTCCCTTCCCCTTCCCCCAGTCCTCTTTGCTATGTACTTTTTTCTGGACTGCTGTCATATGTATACTGCCTTAAAAAAATTACTAATTTCAGAAAATTTACAGAGACTTTGGATTTCCATTCATTCATTGTTGCACTTTTCTCCCTTCCCACCCCTACCCCCCCAATATACCCTTCTTTGAAAAAAGAAAAATTCTTTCATTGTTTTGTATAATGCCTTTCAAATATATTCCTTTTAAACAGTTCTTTCCTTTATCTGTTTCAATGCAGTATACATTATCCATTCTTTTCCTATACTCCTCCCAATCCCCAATGTCAGCCCTGGTTTGTAAGAGTGGTGTCCTTTTGGTTTTTTTGTCCTTTTATGACAGATATTTTAAACTTAGTGTAATATTCTCCAGGGTTGCCCTTGCTGTATGTTTTACAAGTTCACTATTTTTCAGTGTTTTGTAGTATTTCATTGTGAATATACCAGTTTTTCTATCCATGTTTGTTAATGAGCACTTGGGTTGCTTCCATCTCTTTACTATTGTGAATAACGCAGCAATAAACACAGGTGTGCATCCAGTGAGTTTTTAGAGACTGTTAAGTTAAACAGGAGGAGCTGCTGGTGGATTCAAACCCACCATCTCTGGTTTGGCAGCACAACTTCTTACCCATGAGGCCATCAGAGCTCCCTCCCTGAAGACCTCGCTCTACCTTGCCTACCTGGAATGAGCCATTTGGGGTTTTGTAGGAATCCAAATTATCTCCCTGTAAGAGCATTAAGTAATCTTTACTTTTCCACTTGAGTTTTATTATCTTTAACATCAGTTAATACCCTTGTCTGAATCTATAATAACTTTGTGAGTAGCAAAGGCCCAGGTCCTTCCCTGAAAAGAGCATATTAGATTAAGAGATCTTCCTCCTAGGAAGGCAGATGAAAAGGGAAGGTAGAAAGCCCTCTTTGAAGAGAGGGGCCCTCACCACCAACTGCCAAGTCAGTTGATCCTCATGGAAATCCTACAGGGCAGAGCAGAACCGCCAGAGGAGGAGAATCATCTTTGGGGCTTGAACTGCTCAACTCTTAGTTAGCAGTTCATTGGTGTAAACACTGCATTGAGAGATCTCTCTCTCTTGTTGCCTTCAAGTTGGTTCCTACTCATAGTTGACCCTCTGCTGGGTTTCTGCGGCTGTAAATTGCAGGGGAGGAGACTGTCCCTTTTTCTCTCTCAAGCACATTGATGGATTCAAAGCGCAGTCTCTGGGTCAGCAGTGCAGCTCTGGACGATGCCACCAGATTCCGTACTAAGAGAATCCCAATTCCAGTGTTTCCATGTTCCCCTCGCCCCTTCTTGTGGGAAAGGAAGGTAACCCTAACATCATCATTTCCTGCATTCCCCCAGGGCTGGTCCTGTTCCTAACTCAGCCAGGAGGGGCACCCCAAGCTGGACATCTCACCAGGGAGTCCAGCCAGGGAGACCCGGACTCCTGGGGTTGGGACCCACTCCAACAGCCCTGGATCCTACTCTTCCCTTTTTACCCCCAGGTTGTAAATAGACAATCAGGGTTCAAGGACCATGACTTCCGCACAGGTCTCTAATTTCCTTCAGGCCCGGGCAGGGAGTGGGGCTGGAGGGGAAGTGGAGGGGGAAGGAGTGGGACTGGAGGGGAAGTGGAGGGGGAAGGAGTGGGGCTGGAGGGGAAGTGGAGGGGGAAGGAGTGGGGCTGGAGGGGAAGTGGAGGGGGAAGGAGTGGGGCTGGAGGGGAAGTGGAGGGGGAAGGAGTGGGGCTGGAGGTGGGGGAGAAAGAAGGATAAGTAATACACCCCCAAAGACTCAAGCAAAAGACACACACTATTTTTCTTTCTTTTAATCTTAAGCAAAAGGGGTTCACAGGGGTTCAAAAATAAAAATTTCCCCCCCACCCTCCCCAAACCTTTAACCCAGCTTCCCCTAGGTCGCCACCCCAAATCTTGGTGGTGGGAGTGGAGCAGGAAGGCTGTGGGGGTGTGGGTATCTCCAGCTGGGGAGGGGAGGGCAGTCAGGGGGTGGTGCCGAGCTCGGTGCTGGCTTCTTTCCAAATATAAATACTCGGGTCAAAATTCCCAGATGACCCTCCTCCCCCACTGCCCAGCCCTCTCCTCTCCTTTCTGCCGGTGCTGGGAGTGTTGGGGGAGCTGCCAGGCACCGGCTGGCTGGGGGTTACTGCATCCGCTGGCCTTGGGCCTCCTGCTGCTCGTTGTAGAAGAGGTGGCACTCGGGGTCCCCTCGGATGGTGGGGGCACCAGGGATCAGCTTCCCGGTGTTGGGGTTGACACACCAGCATTCTCCACGCTGCCCATTCAGAGACATCTTGCACTGAGGAGAGAAGAGAAGAGCGTGAAACTGGCCCCGCAGCCCCCAGTGTCCCTCCTTATCTCTTGGACAGCAGGATGCAAAGGAGGACTGGGTGCTCTGGGCCGAACCAGCAGGATGGGGCCCGCTCAAAAGCTGATTCCCACTCAGAATTCTGCCTGTCCCAAACTTGGTATTGCTAGCACGCTCTTATGTGATGCTGAAGGTGCTGGCCCAATATCTGACTCCTGATTAGCTGTGGGGACTGCCTGTAAAAGATGGGCCTCCCCACTTGTGGCAAGACTCAGCCCGATCTTAGTGGAGTTCATCAGGGGAAAGTGAAAAGACCAGCGTTAGAACACTTTGTCCTGCAGCGGCTGCAGGATCTGTGTGAGCAACAGAACACCTGCCTGTTTATCTTTTACATCTACCCACACCCAGCAAATCTGAGAAAGCCAGAAGCTGTGAAAGGTGGAAACCTGTCAGGGAAGGAAAAACATTTCCCCACTAATAGACAGCAACAGAAAAGTGATGGAAAATTTGCAAGATCCGGAAAAAGTGACACTCCAGCTGCCAAGGTTTCACTGGTGTTCATCTCCTCCTCCTCCTCCACCTGGTGAATTCAGGACCACTGCGAAGCAGGGACGGCATCCACTTCCTAAACAACATGTCTCTGGAAACTTTATGAACTTTGATAAATGTCGATAGTTCTAGAAAGGCTTCAGGCCTTTTGTTCACAGGGTCACTATGAGTCATACTCGACAATCAACAACAGCAACATTATCTCCACTCTAGGGGGGGGTCTCAGGTGTGTGGTCTGTGGTTCTGCTGCTGTCTTCTCTGGCAGTTCAAATCCACGAGTGGGCTCCAGGGAAGAAAGATGGGCAATTTTCTCCCATGTGATTTATAGCCTCAATAGAAGGTCAGCTGTAAGTTGGTTCCAACTTGACAGTAATGAGATTTAGGTAATTGTTTTAGGATTTTTTTTTAAATTCAGATTTCAATGAAAGTTTATAGAGAACTTGGATTTCCAGTCATTTAATGTCGCACCTTTTTCTCCCTGCCAACCTCTCCTCCACTGCTTGTTTTTTTCCTTTGGGGGAAAAAGAAAATTCTTTCATTGTTATACACCCCGCCCCCAAGTTCACTTTACTATGCAGCTCTTATTCTGGACTCTTGTCATGCAAATAATACCTAATCATATATTCCTTTTAAACAGTTCTCTCCTTCATCTGTTTCAATGCTATATACATTATTTACGCCCTCTTTTCTTAGTTTCTCCCCCAACCCCGATGTCAGTCCTGTTTTATAACAGTGGCATTATGCAGTATTTGTCCTTTTGTGATGGAGATATTTCACTCAGCATAATGTCCTCCATGATCACACATTTGTATATTTCATGAGTTCCTTGTTTTTCAATGCAGCATCGTATTCCATTGTGTGAATATACCACAGCTTCTCTATCCATTTGTTTGATGATGGGTACTTGGGTTGTTTCCAACTCTTTGCTATTGTGAACAAAGCCGCAATAAACATGGGTGTGCATATATCTGCTTGGGTGGCAGTTATGGTTTCTTTAGGATATGTTCCCAGCAGTAGACCAAATGGTATCTCTATTTGCAACTTTCTGAGAAAGCGCCATACAGCCTTCCATAGTTGTTGCACCATTTTACACTTCCACCAACAGTGAATAAGAGTCCCAATTTCTGTACAACCTCTCCAGCATTTGTTCTTTGCTAGAGTTTTCCTTAAATGAGAAAATTGCAGCACAGACTTGTTAAGTAACTGGTCCAAGAGCACACAGCTAGGAAGAGGCAGAGTTGAAATGGCCCAGCCCACACTCCGGTGCCTGGATCTTGCTTCTGGACTTTGTAAATCCCTCTAATTGTCCACAAAGCACAGCGGACAGTCCATGTGTCATGGCAAGAGATCAGCTTCTTTGCTGCTCAGAATGAGGTAGCTCATTTGCGTTGGGTGCACAAGTACCCACAAAGTGCTTTTCCAATGCGAGAGTAACAAGCACTGTAGCGAGGAACAGCAAGTTAATTCCAATTGATGGAGGCCCCGTGTGGCCAGGCAGAACTACCCTGGGACGTTCCTTGGCATGTACTCTTTGCAGGAGCAGATTGCTAAGTTTTTCTCTTGGTGAATCACCAACGTTATTGAAGGCACTCAATAACAACAGTTACTACAAAGTCTAGAAGACTGAAGGGAAGATAGAGCATAAGAGCATTAAAATGCATATGGACAGAGTGAGGACAAGACCGTTCCACAGCGGTTTTCTTACAAGTTAATTGCTCTTAAATGTGTTTATGTTGTTTTCCTATCATTTTTACAAAATTCTAAATGGGTTTTCCTTCCCCTGAGACACCTGAAAAAACAGAGAAACTTCACAGTCAGTCACCAAAATCAGTGATTCACAAAGTAAGCTGTAAGGACCAGTAGCAATGGTATCCCCCTGGGGGCTTGCTGGACATGCAAATTCTCCATCCAACCTGAGATTGTGGAGCTCTCTCTGGGAGTAGACCCAGGAATCTGCTTCAGGTGACTAATAATCAAATTTGAGAACAGTGCTCAGGCTGTTCGTTCATAGGGTCGCTATGAGTCATCTACGACTCGACGGCATTAAACAATAACAATGACGACGACCAAGAGAGAGCTATGTTGGCCTAGTGGAAGGAAGCTGTGCTACCAAGCCGAAGGTGGGTGATTGCCATCTGTGGCCCTCAGCCAGGTTCAAACTGTCTTCCTGTCAAACATTCTTCTAGGTGGTATAGCACTGGTCTGTGCGTTGCTGTACAGAGGTAACTCGTGGTTGCTGTGATGCTGAAGCCTGTGACAGTGATGTGCCAATCGTGGTAATGGGCACCCATGGTGGACAGTGTTGGCTGGAGCTTCCCGACTAAATCAAGCCTGGAAGCAGGAGCGGCTTCCACTTCCAAAATGGCTTGCCTCCGGAAACTCTGTGTACGAACAGTGCTCAGGCTGTTCGTTCACAGGGTCGCTATGAGTCGTCTACGACTCGACGGCATTAAACAACAACAAACAGTTTCAAACCACTTCTTTTCTCTGATAGAATCCTTCCCAAGCTGTGCACCAACCATCACCAAGGATAGCAGGCAGGAACCTGAGTCAGTAGAACCTGCCTTGACTCGCCTTGGCCAGGGATCGAGCTTCAGCCTGGCAGCTTGTACGGCCAGGGATCGAGCTTCAGCCTGGCAGCTTGTACCTGTGGCTATAGAAGTCTTGTCTCCCACCCAACCTCAAAAGACTACAGCAGGGTGAGCAGGCAGCTAGGCCCGGACAGCCCAGGCTGCCCACTCTACTTGCCTGTTTGAGGTTGTACAGCCCATGCTTGTTGCAGTTGGGGATGTGCAGGGAATAGAGGTGCTCCAGAGGTCCCCTCTCATCAGGCAGGCGCATGGTGGAGATCCGCTCCAGGACCTGGTCCAGCTCCTGCTGGCAGGGAGTCTGCAGGGCACAGAGGCGGTCAGAGTCAGAGGGGTGGCCTTCGGGACACAACCTTAAGAAGACTCTCAGCACTGGGAAAGGACCTTCCTAGGTCCCACAGTTAGTTGGTCAGATCAAGACTCCTGCCACCCTGCCATCTAAGTGCCTCACCCTACCCCACTGAAGTCAAGAGAGATGCAAGTTCTTCTCCCATCCTGGCTTTGAGGCAAAGGTTTTGTTGAGGCATATGGAATTTATGTGTAAATAATTCATTCAAGCGGTTCTCTCTCCAAAGATGTAGATCCCAGCCTCCCTCTCCTTCCAATAACTCTGCTAGGACCAAGACCCAAGACAGTAAAGAGGAGCTGGGGAAAAAGAAAGGGGGGTGGGGTACCTCAGTGCAGGGAGTTTATCTCAAGAGTAAGCGAATTTAAGAGAATCACTCTTCATCTCTGAGATCAATTTTCTTCTCTATGGCCCAGAGCCAAAGAGAAATGACAAAGGTTTTTACAAGAAAGACACTGTGAGCGACTATCCATCTAGTTCCTATCACAACCTAAGATACTGAGGTCCCAAAAGCTAGGTGACTGACCCAAAGCTCATGGAATAATTGGACAGCAGAGCTGGAAATGAAAATGCTTTGATGTTAGGTAACTCGAGCCACTGATCTTATTGCAATGAGGGCATTTCACCACCCCGAAGCTGGGAGTCTCCCCATCCACGTTCCCCTGACCTCTCCATCCAGAGCGATCACTCACCCTGGCCGGTGGTGGCCGCAGCTTCTTGGGCTCTTCCAGGCCCAGGTGATGTTTGCCACCCTTGCCCATTTGCCGGTGCTGCTCAGACACCTTCTCCCGGAACACAGCCAGCTCCTTCATGCCCGACTTAAGGGGCTTCCGGCCAGCAGTGCCTCCAACCACCAGCATGTTCATGGTCCCATCCACGTGGTTCTCGGCCAGGTCTCCCTCGGAGTGGTCATCGCCGTTGTCTGCAGAGAGAAAGCGAAGAAGAGTTCAGGCCCAGCTTTGCAGAGGAATGAGCCCTTGGCCGCTGTTTGGACCCTTTATGATAGCAATGATGACTCGTGGACATGCTCAGAGCCTGAACGAATCTATTTACACAGATTATCTAGTTCAAACTTCACAATGAGTCTTTATAACAAAACTTCACACACACACACACACACAAATCTCCCAACTTTTTGGATGCTGAAGTTCACAGAAGTCAGTTACCTAATAAGAGATCACAAATCTGCTATGTGAGACATCCTGGATTTGAATTGAGGCTGCTAACTTCTAAATAGGCCACACAGCCACTCTATCCTGTCTCATCCTAAGAAACTAAGACACCGTCATAGAGCACAGAAGCATGACTATTTCTACGGGACCCTTACCAGCATGAGTTTCAGTTCGTTCAAGCATCCACTATTTTTCTCTAGAAAGATCTCCCAGCATCTAAAAGTTGCTAACACCCACCTTATCATTCATGGTTTGAGAGGGTGCTTATAAGCTGAATGCTGCAAACACCCCTGGGCATGCGTGCCTGGCAGAACAGGACAAAGGGTAACCACACTGCCGCCTGTCTCAGCCCTCCCTGATCTGTCTGTTCTAAGATGATCTGCCAGCCTCGTGCTCCCACAATGCTTTGCTCCCATGGCTCCCGTGCCTCCTGCCCATTGATTCTACTTGTGTTTATGTTTATCTGTATGCCCCCATTTCATTAAGCATGAACTGTGATTTCCTCAAACTAACACTTGAGAGACTATCAGAGACTAGGGTATGAATCTCGGCTGTTTTTCCAAAGTAATCTCATGAAACCAAGTCCATCAAGTCAACTGTGACTCCTGGCGGCCCCGTCTCTCAGAGTAGAACGGTGCTCCATTGGGTTTTTACAATTAATTTTTTCCCCCTATATCACCAGATCATTCTCCAAGGTGGGCCTGAAGGCCTCAAATCACCAATCTTTGAGTTAGAAAACTAACACGTAAATAGTTTGCACCATGTAAAGACTCTCAAATCTCTTTAATCTTTCTTAATCTGTCAAGTCAACAACAACAAAAAATCCCTATTGAATGTCAAGGTTGGGTGGAAAGCCCAAAGCACCTGCTATCTTCCGGGCTTCAAGTGTCGCACATCCAGTGAGAGAGAGGCAAGAAGAATTAAATGGTAGAACTGCCAGCATCAGGACTGACTACAGAGCTAAGTCCCAGCAAGTCTTGGAAGGGCAAGGAATCATAAACCAGCCTCAGACCTTCACAGACACAGCAAACAGGGCCCCCCCACCCCCCGAGCACAGCGCCCAGAGCAGCTACCTGTGGTTCCAACAAGGCCTGGATGAGGGAAGAGGGATGTCTTCAAATGAATCCTGCATGTATTCATTTACCCCTTTAATAGATGTTACCAAAAAAAAAAAAAAAAAAGAAAATCTCAATGACACAACTGAATGGCTCTTAAAAAGATTTTAATTGAAGGACGTTGTACTTTAGATTTCTGAGACAGCATGGAGAACTCAAGAAGCCACTCTAGGGGAGTGTTGTACAAGTGAAAAGGGGCAGCCTGCTGCCACTTGTGACTGTAAACTGGAGCCATGATGTCCACACCTGAGTTGGTGTGAGTCCACTCACTCAACAGCTAAGAGAGGAACTTCTGTACCAGATAATGCAGGGCTTGCGCAGGCTACAGCAGTGCCCATTCACAACCCAGCAGAGAGCAGGCAATAAGGGTCCAGCCCAAGAGCAAACAGCAATGTCCAGCAAAGGTTTGCTCACATGCTGCCCCTTCCTGACGGGACCTAATTATGCATGGTTGGTGCTCAGCAGTATCACTTTAAAACACATTATCTACAAAGTAATTAGCACAAGTTACGAGGGCATGATGGCTAATTTGATGTGCTACCTTGGTGAGGCTATGTCTCCCAGTGGTTTGACCAAACACCAGTCTAGTTGCTAATATACGTGTGTGATATAATATAATCACCTTGCATAATGTAGTCCAGTGGAATCAACTCATCAGTTGAAAAGGACACTTCCTGAGGGTGTTCGTGACAGAGTTGTTTTTGTTGTTGTTGTGTGCCATTGAGTAACCTGAGACTCATAATGACCCTATGTACAACAGCATTAAACCCTGCTCTATGCTGTGTCACCTACCCCCATTACCCCAGCCATTGAATCAATCCATCTCATCAAGGGTCTTCCTCTCCTGTGCTGTCCCTCCACCCTACCAAGCATGATGTCCCTCTCCAAGGACTGGTCCCTCCTTGAAACATGTCCAAAGTATGTCAGACGAAGCTTCATAATCCTTGCCTCCAAGGAGCAGCCTGGCTTCACCCTCTCCAAGATGAATTTGTTTGTTCTCTCAGTAGTCCATGGTATATTCAATACTCTTCTCAAATACATCAATTCTCTATCATCCCTACTCATCGTCCAGCTCTCTGATGCATAGCAAGTGATTGCAAAGACCATGGCATGTATCAGGGGCACCTTAGTCTCCAAACTGACATTGTTGCTCTTCAGCACTTTAGAGAGGTCTCTAACTGCAGACTTTCCCATCGCAATACATCTTTTAATATCCTGGCTACTGGTGCTGAAAGTGTTGACTGTGGAGCCATGCCGACTAAAGCTGTGAATAATCTCAATCTCTTATCATCCATCCTGATGCTGCCAATTGGCCCAGTGGTGAGAATCTTTGTTTTCTTGGTATTGAGCCTCAATCCATACTGATAACTGCAGCCCCAGGAAATAGATTATTTTGGCATAATTTTCTCTCTTCACTCTGCACCCTGCGCATTGCCTGACTCGCAGCTCTTGGGACACAAATCTACAGGGGTTTGCAGCCTGGCACCTGGCCTCCAGGGTTTGACCGTGCCATCCCTCACCAATGCATCAGCCAATCACATGAAGCAACTTCTCAGACAGAGCACTCACTGGCTGTTTCACACTAAAACAGGGAGCACACTCCAGGGGTCAAATTCCAGCCCTACCACTTCCTACGAACATCAGTGATGCTTCAGGCCATCTTCACGCTTGCTTGCTTCACTTGCTTTCTTCGTTGTAAGGTATGGTTAACAGTAGCTCCTATTTGACACAAGTGCCAAGAGGACATTTCAGGTGTAGCAGTTAAAGCTGAACAAGAATACGGAAACTGTATATCCAAGGCTGGACGTTGCTATGACTTTGATGATGGCAATGAACAAAAATGATTCCCTCCGTGACCTGCTACCTCTGAATCCAGAGCAAGGCAGCAGCGACGAATGAGGATCCTCTGCGCATGCTCCTCTGCGCATGCTCCGGAGCTGTAACAGGGTCCACACGTTGAAGGTGGGTGCTTCCTCATGCGTCCTCAGCAGAGCCACCGTGAGCCCACTGTCACGGTGGAGTAGCCTGCGGTTCACAACAGTATTCCTTCTTGGCTGTCTGGTCTCTAAGGCTGCCACAGAATTAAGACCAACAAGATTTCAAGGAAGAAGGAAGAATTCACATGGACAGTGACAAGAAGTTATTAACTAGCAGGCAGGAAAGAGGAACCTTGGAGAGGGAAAAAAAAATAGGCCAACCTTAAGGACTGTAAAGATATTTGTTATTGTTGTTGTTGTTGTGTGCCATCAAGTCAGACTGATCAGAGCTGACCCTCAGCAGGTTTTCAGAGGCAGTAAACTTCAAGGGAGGAGACTGCCCACCCTTCTCTGGTGGATTCAAATCCAGTGATTACGGGATTGTGCAATCTTACCGCTAGACCACCAGAGCTCCCTGAGGCATATTATATTTAGCAAATGATAAACCATTCCATGCCAAATTAACATGAGTAAGAGCCTATGGTGATGAAGGAAGAAGTTCAAGCTGCTTTGAAGGAATAGCAAAAAATAAGGCCCCAGGAATAGATGGTATACCAATTGAAGTATTTCAG